TCTTGTTCCTATCGAAAGTTATTCAAAAAATGACAACTCACCTTTTATTTTTTGAATCGGACAATAATATTTCTTCTTGTTTGTTTTCTCTCACATATCGATCTCTTTTAAAAAATTCGGCAGGAAGTACTTTCATCCTCGAAGTAGTGACGAGAGAGGCTGGGAAGAACGAAACCGCCCCCCCATGATTCGATCTCCTCCTCCGATCTTATTCATCTCACAATGACATTGCACACAGTTGTAAAAAATTGACAGAAAGTTGGACATTTGGAAAGTAGGAATAGAGCCGATCGGATCTGAAAACTTTGAATTCGATGAACTCTAGTGCGAAGAAACCTCCTCTTCTATTCGAATCAGAAATTATAGTTCCAGCTCTTTTGGATAAATTATCGTAATATATGTAATTATTGTTCTTTTTGTTTGTTGTTTAGGAAATTGTCTTCAACAAGCTTTACGTAAAATTGGAAAAGAAAATATTGTTCATAATTGTGTATTTAATATTGAATGGGTTACTGATGCAGCAGAAAAAGAATTAGCTAAAGCTCGTCTCAATAGTCGAGGTGGTAGTGTTGATGGAACAGCAATTAGTGGACGACGAGTATGTATTTGATTTTCTTGTTTATTATGTCTAATTACTTTTGTTTTTTTTTCTTCTTGTGTTATAAAATAGTTAGATGAAGGATTTGAAAGTGATGAAGAATACGAACGTCGTCGACATGGAAAATCTAGTAAGTAAATATTTTTCTTTTTTGTTTATATATATTATTTATTACATTAAAAAATCATTATAATTAAAAAATAAATAAAGATTTCTTAACTGATGATGCAAATCGAATACCAACAACAACAATTATAAAAACGATAACATTTGAAGAAATAAATGAAGATGATCTAGGAGGAAAAAAAGCAACTAATGAAAATATTGTTTCACAATTTAAACAATTAGAACCACTTAAAATGGTTAAACGTGATCATTCAAAAGATTTTATTCCTTCATCATCATCAACATCAAGTGCAGATACAATTGTTACTGTTGCTATGAGAAAAAGTTTAGGTTATTAAAAAAGAAATAAATGTTTCGTTTATTGTTATTATTGTTGTTGTTGTTGTTGTTTGCTTTAAATATTGTTTTTTATTGTTCGTCAATGTTTGTTGTTATGAATTTATGTTTTTTAAAGGTGAACGTGATGGTCCTTTACATTTTGTTGATTCAAGTAAAGCACCTACACCAGCATCACGTTATGGTGGTTATTATTCAATATATCATCCACAGAATTATTCAGGTTCAATAACACCATTAAATTATCAATCATATCCATTTGAAATGATACATCTTGAAAGTTTAAGAGAAAAATTAAATAGATTATCACGTGATAAAGGTTCTTTGTTATTCTTTCTGTATGATATCCTTTGAATTTTAAGCATGTGGATTGGTTTTCTCTTTTTTTTTCTTTTGCTGTGTGCTTATCATTTTTGATCAAATATATAAAATTGAATTCTTTTTTTTTTTTTTTCTGTTTAGCTGATCTCGATGATCCATATGGCACATTATCAAAGCAACGAAGTATAGATATAAATGAAGGACGAATAACGCCAAAAGCTAGTTCGGGTATGTTATTTGTTTAATTTATGATCTAATGTCATTGTCGTTCATTTGTTAAAAGAATTATACTGAAAAATTATTTGTAATAGTAGGCGTATCAATCAGTTAGTTTTTTCTTTTCTTACTAATAAAGGTCAAAAAGAAAGAAAAAACGCATTTTTTTCTGCTCGACATAATGATTACTATTGTATAGATTAGAAGACGAAGAAGAAAAAGAGGAAGAAGAAGCGATAATCGACTATAGTAATTAAGTATTTTAATGGAACGTTAAAAGACCTTCGTTTTTTGACGTTCATGACATGCAAATGAACATTAAAATGCAAATAATTTTTTCTTTTGTTATATCTATATTGAATTGACGTTCTGTACTATTAATTCTTAGTTACTATTATTCATAAATAAGAATTCTCTTGTGTATCTATATATATATATATATATTTTTTTTCTTTGTCATAAAATATTTCATGTTACTTACTAATAAAGAAAGGAATGTCAAAAAAAAAGAGAGAGAGAGAAAGATATTCGTTTTCAAATATCTCAATAGACAATATTAATAAAATAGATGTGAATTATTGAAGTAGAATTTTATGAGATTCTAGATCGTCAAAGTCTATATTTGACATCATATAATAGACTTTTCTTTGTTTATTATAATTCAATGTCATTGTTGCTTATGATTAATAGTATCGATGAAAATCTAGTTTTTTTTTGTGTTCTATTCCTTAAAAGAAAAATAATGTTTCTAAGTAAAAACATATAATTATTATTTCTTCTAGCTCATCGAATAGGAAAAAAAAAAGACTAGGTCACGTATCTAATTTCTATAGATAAAATAATTATTCATATATATAATCCATCTTCATATTATTATTTCCGTCGATTATCAATCTATATATATATGTTTGCCATTCGTTTACAAGGTGAATATGAATGCACGTCATTGTTTTTATTAGTTATGAGAGCAATCTTTGCTTTATCTATCTCTCATCATCTTGCCAATATTCTTCTTCTATCAAATAAAAAGAAAAGAAAAAAAAAATAGGGAGAGAGAGAGAGGCGGACTTGTTTTCTCCTCTAATATATTGCTGATATATATATATATATATATATACAAGCAAATGCTTGATATGAATGCGCATCTGGCATAAAAAGAAAAAGAGATTCGTATTCCTTCGACCGAGTGTTCTATAATTAGGCATTAGAATACTAATCGATTAGAGATGCCATTACTCTGTTTGAGTGAAAATCGAACATTATGTTGTGGTTTATGTAAAAAAAAACGACAAATTTTAAGTAAAATAAAATAAAGGATAAAAAATTCAAAAAAAAAAATAAAATAAAATATTATTTTTTAGAATTTAAATCAAAAAAATCTTCAACAAAATTAGGTGATTTTGGTATTGTTAATATTGTTCAAGAAACGACACCAACTTTACCAGATAATCAATCATATTTAACATCAATTCAATCAGATATATATGAAAAACAAACACCAATACAACAATTAACTGAACAAACTGTTCAAATGCTTGATGATATACGTAAGTAAAAAAAATGAATTATGTAGATTTTTTTTTGTTATCATCTCATTCTTTTCCAGCACCTATACGTGCTAATCAACCACCTGTAAGTGAACGTTTAATAAAATCGAAAATAATACCTGAACCAGCACGTGCATTAGCGAATGCACTAAAACATGCTGTTGTTAGACCATTAAAAAAGACGATAACAAAAAAAAAATCTTTTGATGGAAATCTATCTGAACAACAAATAATACATAATCATCCACCTATTGTTCATTCATTTTCTACTCCATCATCAATACTTATTGAAAATAATGATCAACAATTAAATGAAATATCTATTGATTCAAATGAATCAACAAATGCAATTCCATTAACATTATCACCAATTAAACCACCACGTTTAAGTGATGAATCAGGTTCATCATCATCTATTGAAATTAATTCACCACCACCAGCAAAACCACCAAGACATTTTTCTTTATATAAAAATGATCATGAAAATAGTTTAATACAACAAACAAATAATGTTGTAAAAAAAGTTTTAAATATTGTTGATACATTTGATAATGATACAAATATTTTACGACAATCATCATTAAATGCAAATCAATCACTTAATTGTCAAATATCGAATAGTTTAAAAAATATTGAAACATTTTCTGTTCAACCAATTTGTATTGCAATAAATACTGATCTTTCATTAATGACAAAATCTATTGATACTAGTATAGATAAACCAATGACAATCAAATCATTGCCTTCTTCTTCTTCTTCTTCTATTGAACAATTGAATAGTTCAGAAAAATCAATAAATGAAATCATTCCAATTGAAATAAGTCAATTGGCTAAAGATGTAACAGAAAATATTTTACAAGAAGTTGAAAAACAAACTAAATTAACAAATTTGAATTCAACTATAAATAATAATCAACAAATTTTATTTGATAAACTTACGCAATTAGAACATGAACAAATGAATAAAAAATCTTGTGATAATATACCATTAATTTTTCCTTCTAAAATTACTACTCATATATTACCTACTCAAACTATATCACGTCCATCGATGTTTGTTTCATTGAGTTCTTCATCATCATCATCATCTAATACGACGACTAAAACAAATTCACCATTACTTGATATTGTTACAACAAAAGCAGCACCTTTATTTACAACTTCAGTAAGAGTTACTAGTCCATCAACATCTATACTTTCATCAACATCAAAAACAATTACATTTACCAATGATGAATTAACTAATACATCAAAATTAATTTCTCATAGTAAAAAAATTTCTACTCATACGAAAGTATTACAAACTAATAGTAAACAAGATAATCTTGATTCAACAACATTAACTTGTTCATTTCCATCTGATTATGATAATTTACATGGTTCAAGTAGAAGTTTAAATTATGATAATCATCAAACAGAAATCTTATCATCAACTATACCTTCATCATCAGAGACAATGTCATCAACTACATCATCATCAATGACAACAATATATGAAAGTTTAGATAATTTTCCATCATTATCATCATCAACAACAAGTCCAACATATGTATCAGCAGTTAGTACATTTAATACAGGTGGTACAACAACACCACAACATTTAGATTTTGATATAAGTGATGAAGATCTTATTGAATCATTTGATAGTGAAAAAACACCTCAAGGTAGAACCTATCGCATACGAATTAAACCAAGCACGAACATATTCATATATACCTGGCATGTCATTTACCTTCCTTGTTTTTTTTTTCACTCTCTCTCTTTTCCATTTCAATTTGGCATGGCAAAAACCAATTTTTTGCTTAACAACAAATTTGTTATTTGTCTTTTTTATCTTAATTCATTTTATCTATATAACATAGTTTCGACGCCTATAATCGAAATAATTGAAGATAATAGCGAACCGATTGATGAATGCGATATGACATTTCTTACTGAAGTTCTTGCTCAATACAATCAGAATCTTCATCATCAAGGTTTGCGTATGAAGTGTGCGCATGTTAAATATTTGAATGATACTTTGAAAAGAATTTATATTAAAATATATTATGAATATGAATATGAATATGAATTTGTTTTTTTTTTGTTTATTAGATAATCTCGAAACAACAAATGTTCAAACATCATTTAATAAAGAAGGTAAAAAAAATAAATAAATAAAATTTTAATTATCTCATAGAATTGAGATTAAGTAAAAAAAAAACAAAACTTAAATAAAATTTTTCTAGCTCAAAATGAATCGAGAAATCAATAATGTAAGCAAAGATATAAAGCATGGTTTTTGAGAATGGGATTATTAGATTTAATAAAACTAAACATCGCATGTAGCTAAATAAAATTAACTTTTTATATGCGCGAATACATATATATATTGCATTATGTTTTGTGTATATATACATTAATGTTAAACATATATTCTCTAAAGGAGTGTGTGTGTGATACGGTTAAATAAAAAACTGCTGTTGTTCTCTTTGCATGTTTGTTGTCCTATTGTTGTTGTATTTCTTAACTATCTTTTTTTTTTTGTTTTTCTTTATATATCGTAATTTTCTCTTTCTTCTTCTTCTTTGTTTTGTTTTATCATCATTCACTGACGGTTATTGAATATGTGTAAACAATAGAAAAAGAAAAAGCGTAGTGAACGATAATCGAAGTAAAGAAAATACAATATGAACAAAAACAAGAGAGTTTTCCCTTTGGATGTTTGTCTTACTGACTAGCTTCGCATTTTTCTTTTTTCTATTATTACACCTAGTTTCCTTCGTTTGCTTATATACTTGCATGATGACGAATGGCCGTTTACCCTCTCTTTCTCTTTCTTCTTCTCTCGATTCAACAAATGCGCGAACCGTATCACACACAGAATCCTGCTCGAGAAAAAAATTCTCTCGTTTTTTTTTTCCTATATATATATATATATCTGTTCTTTTTCTTTTTTTTTTGCTATTCTTTTTTCCTAAAAAAAAAAGAGTGACATTTCTGTGTGTTAGCTAGATTTTCTCTCTGTTGTTTTTTTTTTGCTCGCGTTCTGTTACAATCTAATCCATTAAAGAGAAATAGAAGAACTACAAGAAATGAAGTGATTGCTAAACTACTACATATCGTTTTTTTCCTTGTTTTCTATTGTTTACAGCTACGCTTGCCAGCAAAGTAGAAGAATCGCCGTTATCATCATTATCATCAGCATCAGAATCATTATCATTATTAATCTCTGTTTCTTCTGCTTCTTCCTCTACTAATTTTTCTTCTGTTCCTTCTTTTCATATCACTACTAAAACATCATCTAAATTTTTATCGAATATGCCAAATAGAACTTCGAATATAAAATTTCAAAATTTTAATAAGATTTCACCAACAATAACAACAAATATAAATGAAGATAATTCAATAAATACTAATCAACAAGAAAACAAAGATTTAAATATGAATTTACAGTCACCAATTCATCAACGTCGTTTACCATTACCAAATAAATTAACATTTGAACAAAATATAACAAATCTTATTGAAAAAGAATCCCCATTATTACAATCAGAATTATTAACTACTGAACATGAATTATCTGTATTTCGTTCACGTTTAGCTGTTAATGAAGGTGTTACAGCTGTAACAGGTACAATACTTGAATCACTTAAAGGACATTTTGACTCGAATCATAAAATTGATGATACAATATCATCAGTTGATAAATATAAAACAGATATTCTTCAAAAATCCACATCTATTCAAACATCACCAATTACTGAAAATTTACCAGACACAATTGAAATACATTATGATGCTGAATCACCTAAAAATCCATATGTACTTGTTAAAGCAATAAATTCTTTTTGGATTGTACAACCAATAGATGATTGTGAAGTAGAAAAACATTTAAAAAAATTTTCATCACCAATTATGAAACATGCTGCTATCAAACTACCAGACACATTTCATATAAATAATTATAATTTTGATGATGAAGAAATTTTTAAAGAAAAATTACATGAAGAAACATTTTCATCTTTAATTCCAAAAAAAATAACAAATATTGACAAAGACAATAAAACTAATGATTCAATATCCGAGAAAAATGAATGTTCAACAAACAATCGTCATGAACAATTAGTAGAAATAAAAAAAATACATTCATCATCATTATTTCAATATCATGATCAATTTGAAAAATTTGATGATAAAATTGATGAAATTTATTCAATTATTGATTATTTAAAACATAATAAATTAACATCAACATCAATTATTTTAAATAATCTTCATATGAAATTAAATGATTTAAAATTACTTCTTCATGATATTCATTTAAATAAACAAGATGAATTACGTATAGATTATGAATTAGATGAATTAGAAAATTTTTTTAATAAAACATCTCAACATGATGATTATAATTTTATTGAATTATTTGAACAAAATCTTCATGAATTACAATATATTATTCAAGAAATAAAAATTTTAAAAAATCAATCACAACAACATTTCATAAAAACTATTAATGAAAAAGATAATTCAAATAAATCAATAATTACATCAAAAACATTACATAAACGTCTTATACCTGAAAATCCCATTGTAACAAGTGATATATTTTTTGAAGGTAATAAAATATCAAAACAAAAAAAATCTCTTCCATCAAATCCTATTCGTTTAATACCTGAAGATGCTCAAATAAATGCTTCAAGTTTTTATGAAGGTGATATACATCGTTCATTATATCAACATACAGAACAAGAAAAACAAATTATTGATAATACAAATAAAAAAATATCTCTTATACCTGAAAAACCTTATATTTCAAGTGAAAATTTTTATGAAGGTGATCCACAACGTTCAATGTTTATTGAACGTCCATTATTAACACATTATGAAACTTTATCATCATCATTACCAAGATTATCAATTGATAATCTTCGAGAAATTATGAGTGATTTAATGCTTGTTGCATCATGGTCTAAAAAACCAACAAAACTAAAAACTCAACAAACAAAATCTAGTACGGAAGTTCATGCTGAATCATTTATAACAACTGAAAAACGACATTCAAACTTATGTGAAATTACGCATGACATTGAAAGTTTTCCTTTATCACATCCTTCAATATTAATTGAAGAACAAGATACAATATCACCAGTAAATATCGAATTACGTAACGAACAAATAATTGAATCTTCTCAAATGACTGAACAAAAAGAAAATTTTAATAATAAGATAATTATTGAAACATCTTCAAATGAAAATCAATCAAAACCAATATCAACTAATACTGAATTCACCATTGTATCTTCTCCATCGTTCAAACAAGATAATGAACAAAAATTAATTATTGAATCTAGTTCTTCTATTCCTTTAGAAACAACTATCAATGAAAATATATTAACATCTTTACCTATGATTGAATGTAGTTCTGAACAAATTGAAAATAATTCTTTAAATTATGATCAAGAAGAAGATATCAATGAAGAAAATTTACATGCTTCACAATCATTTCCAATCTATGATGAAGACTATATGAAATCATCTAATTCATCAATAAGATCTTATGTTCAACGTTCAAATATTATTTCTAAAACTATAACATCATATCATGATGAAATAGAAAATGAACATGAAGAAGAAGAAGATATTGAAGAAAGTCATTTTCGTCCGACACATCTTGATATGTATTCTGATGAACAAATACAATATGAAAATCATCTTATTGAAACATCAAATAATCTTGTTGAACAAATTTTAAATGAAGCTATTTCAGAAATAATTGAATATGAACAAAGTAATTTATATTATCAAGCAGCAATTCAAATTGTTAATGATGTTATTGAAAATATTTTTCTAAACTATGATAATGAATTTAATTTAATTGAATCAACATCCATTAGTAGTAGTACTACTACTAATAGTGATAATGAAATAAAAGAAGAAGCCGAAGAATATAATGATAAATATTTATCATCATCTGATGATGAAGAAAATGAAAAACTAATTCCACAAATATCTGATCAACCATATTTATTTGTTTCTGACGTAATTACATCAAAATCAACACAAGAACTTGGTAATCTTGTACAAGAATTACAAACACTTGAACATAAAATTTTTCATATTCATTCATTATCGTCATCATCATCATCATCATCAAGTTTATCTGATAATGATCAAATACCATCATATGATTTATCTATTCCGAAAATAGTTGAAACAAAATCAATTAATGAATTAACAAATCTTGTTATTGAATTAGAAAATGTTGAAGAAGCACTTGAAGATAAACTTGATTTACCTACAAATATAGATAAATCACCAATATCATCGAAATCATTTAATGAACTTGGTGGTTTAATTAATGAATTAAATAATGTTTCAAAACAATTAAATAATCGTATACATGAAGAAATTTTTACATCAACAAATATTGATTCATTATCACAAGATATAATTAAATATCGCCGTGATTCACTATCAAATGGAATTATTCATAGTCCACATAAAAAAGAACAACAATCATTAAATTTAATAATATATGAACAAGATTTAGAACATATAAAACCAATATTAGTTAATGATGTTGTTCTAAATCATGATCAATTAGAATATGAACAAATTGAAAATCAAGTTGTACACGATTTGATTGATAATGTTATTAAAGAAGCACAAGATATTATGTTATCCGAGGTAAATATTATAAAAATAATAAAACCTTAAAATTCGAATATCTCAGTCTATGCATATCAGAGACAACCTATATTTTAAATTTTTTAATTTAGCAGAGTCATTTTCTATTTGAAAAATATGATTGTTTTGTTTTTTGATCATGCATTCTAGAGAATTCTCGACGGAGCTTGATTGTCGCCAATGGCTTTTTTTTGTGTTTTAAAAGACCATATCAAAATGCAGAGCATGTCGGAACTCGTTTTTTTTTTTAAATTAAGCTTTGATACTATTATATAAAAGAGTACTTTTGTAATTAGGATGTCATTTTTTCAGATATTAAACTTTTCTTCCCCTTAAAAAATAAGAATTGAAAAAAAACCGGACTCTTTCATGCCATACATCCTGTCATGCTCTGTCAAACAGAATGAAATTAATTTTTATAGAATAGCTATTTTTAGCTTTTGTTAATTGAAAATCTCTGGAAAACATAATAATATAAGACTGAAAATTTTATCATAACCTTTTTACTACAGCTACAACATATCTTGATAACTTCATGCAATTTGAATAAACTTGAGCTAAAATGAATTTTTAAGTGGGCTTTAACTAACAATAAAAATATCTCCATTGCAAAATTAATATTCATAGTCGATAATAGAAAATATCATTTGTTTTTTGATTTGTGGAATCTATTGAGAATAAACGTACATCTCTTAAATTCTCTCGACTACGATAATTAGTCGCAAAGCTGAAAAATAAAAACAGCAAAAAAAAAATTCTTTTTCTTAGCATTATAGAAAAATAACTTAGAGAAGTCAAGAAAATAATTAACAAATCTACTCAAGGATAAGAAACATTAGATATGAGCGAATGTTTAGTAAACGTTTTTAATCAAGTATGAAACCTTACACGAGAATAAGTAGTAGTTGCTTTAAAAATTTTCCTTATTTTCAAACTTTTGTCGCTTGCGATTTTCATTATTCAATAATAAAATATATTTTTTGTAACATGTCGATAAATTTAAAATGTGAATGTCAATATTTCAGTTCTGCTTGCTAATGAGATCATCTACGAATCTATTTCATAGAGTAAATCTTTATTTTTCCGATGTTGTATGAAATTAAAATACATGTCTACAAATTGAGTTTTGTGAGAAGCAAAATATAGAAACTACTGTTTCATCAAACCCTCGATCAATTCTACATTGCAGCTAATTATTATTTTCTTCTTAAATCCATTTATTTTATGAAATAGATCTTAATTATATATTTAGCTCACGAAAGACGACTACATTCGTATTAGTAGCAAGCTTATGTAAATCTAATCATAATACTTGTGTCTCACGAGAATACCTTTCACCTTTCATATAGAATTATACTCTATAGCATGACATGCACCAAAATATATCGAATGACGTAATTTTTCTTATAGATAGACTTGCTTGTATCTGTAATATCTTGAAAATATTAGTTCAAAAGAATATTTCTTTCACGAGATATTGAATTTCCAAGAAAACATGAGATTCTCGAATTGTTCGTGCAATATGAGAGATTGTAAGAAATTCAATACCTTAAGACGGAAACATTCTTTTGAGTTGAAATCTTTAGAACATTTTCTATACAAGTAAGACAATCTACAGGCAAAATTACATCATTCGATATCTTTGGTATATGTCATGCTATAGGTTAAAATATGATTCAAATGGTTATAACTCTATAGAAAAGATCTAGATACCCTTGCCACTTTTGAGATTTTTAATACTTTATTGAAGTCTATATTATGCACAAAGTTCAGATTTTCAAGTTGGAAAGGTTCTATTGTTGAATCAAAATAATTCTCTGACTAGTAGTGTTGACTGTATAGATGAATAAATGTAGAAGAAAAAGAAAACCATTATATTTCATTTTATTTTAGTTATTATCAAATGTTTCTCTAACAATTGTTAAATCTGTTCCAACAATTATCGTTGATGAAAATTCGAAATTATATCAACGATCATCAATAACAAGTATATCTGATGATTTAGAACTTTCACACGGAGATTATACAGTCGATAGAACAATAGAATTAGCTGCACAATTAGATTATCTAAAACGTATGTCACGTTATGAAAACTTAATAAATCAACAAGAACAAATAGAAAATTCTCAAATTATTCAAGAAGAAAATCCACAACAATCAAATATCATTCATGATTCAACAATGATAAGTCAAGATTCTCTAAACCAACGTTCAACAGATTCACTTGATTATCATTCAATTGAAATTGAATCAAGTCAATTATCTACTGGACGAACAACAAGTGAAAATAGTCTTCATAGTGCAGTATCATTACCTACATACGATAGTCATTCATTATCAACATCATGTTTAATTGATAATAATGATGATAATAATAATAATCAAGAAAATTTATTAATTAAAACAACTGATGTCAATTTATTTGATCATGTTAAATCACTTATTAATAAACCACTTGAAATTGTACATGAAATAATAGAAAATCAATTTAAACAACGGATTAATGAATCAAATATAAATAATAATCAAAATATAGATAATAATGAAAAAGAATTTTTAACAACACAACAACAACAACAACAACAACATTTTCAATCAGCATATGATTTACATGATGAAGAAAAAAGTAAACTTGTACGAAGTCCTGAACTTTATAATATGAAATATGCTATTAAACATAATAATCAAACATTATTAATTAATTCACAAATACAACATCGTACATTATCAGAATCAGCATTAACTATTGATGATTTAAAACATCAAAATTTTAAAAAAACAACTAATGAAATATCAAATGAATATTTAACAACAATATCAAAAGATAATTCATTAGAATCAATACAACAACATCGTCTTCCAACACCTTTTGATGATGTTATTGAAAAAGAATCAAGTCCAGAACATTCAGAATCATATAATATACCACTAACAGCTTTTTCTGACGTATTAGAACCAACTAGTAGTTGTCAACGTCCATTAGCATTTTGTTTATCTCAACAACAACAAATAATAACTGATGCCGAATATCGTAGAGTTGCTAATGATTTAGTAAATCAAGTATTACAAGATGTCATTTTAGAATTGACTGTCGAACAAGATGAGTCATCTTCAAGTAATAAAAGTGATAAATTATTTACAAGTAGTATATCATCTGATAATGATGATGAACTTCGTGAACAAGATGATGAAATAAATATACAAAATCAATTATCAACTTCATCAAACTTAAATATTTCTTCTCGTTTATCATTTGGAAAAGTTTTACGTCGTGCTCAAACTGATACTGAAAATTTTGAAATCATTCAAAGTCCAAATACAAAAATTCCATCAATTATTCGTCGTAATTCTCAATCGGATACTGAAACATATTTTCGTTCAATATCATCATCAATTAATAATTCAACACAAATAAAACCTTCGTATGATAATTCAAGTTCAGATGAAAAATTGACGAATAAAAATTCAACAATATTAATTCAAGAAAATGAAAAATATTCAGGTGAAGGTGAAGAAAGTAGTGGTGGACAACAACGAATTGTACAACGAAGAAAACGTTCAAATGATACAATGTATATAAATGATTCACCAGGAATAAAAAATCTTCCATTTAAATATGAATTTAATGATAATTTCAAACGACAATATAGTCTTGAATCACCATCAAAAGATTCAAATGAAAAATTAATTCTTAAAACATTACAAGAAGGTATACTTCGTACAAATTTAAAATCTTTTCAAATAGATTTAGATTTAATTAATCAACAAGAAGAAAATTCTTATGAACAAATTTATTCATCAGCAACAACAAAAACACTTTCACCTTATTATGATTATGATGCCGAAAGTGAAACTGAACGTGATGATGTAAAAAAAATTTCTATACATAATTATATTGTTTTACAAATATTTCCTAATGAAATTAATTCTAATAATTGTTCTATAAGAAATATATCATCAGAATTAAATCAAATATCTTCTTTAATTGATATTGATATTAAAAATCTTCTTGATGATTTAATTGACTCAATAAATGATGGTATATCAATATCAATATCAAGTGAACCATTATCATCACAATCAGATGCAACAACAGTTATATTTAATTCAATAGATGATGAACAACATATTGAAAAATATCCTTGTATATCTAGTCATAATTTAAATCAAAATAATCAACAATGTTTAACAATACCAATATCAAGTACATCATCATCATCATCACCATCATCTCCAAATCATTCTGTGATATATTACCAACAGGATCATTCATCACAAATACAAAATAATTTAAATCCTTTTGTAAATACAAATCCTAAAAAACAATCATCAATACCATCATTGTCTAATGTCGATTTACTTAGTCATGATACTAAAACAAAATTTCGTTCGTATCCCGGTTCATTAGGAGGTACTGATATACCTCCTTCTTCTATTGAATCTATCCTCAACAATTATTGTTCAACGACAACAACATCTACTACTTTGCCTAAGTAGTAACTAATCACGTTCCTTCCCTCTTCGTTTCTCGATATTGTCTCATTTGTTGTTCGTGTTCTTTTTTCTTTTCTCCTAATCTTTGTAATACTTTGTTGATTACTGCATGTAAATTGTTTTCAATTAATATTTGATAATTAAGATTTATTTCTCTATTTTAGGTAAACAACAATTTGACGAGTAATTAAACGACAAAACAGATAGACATTAAATCTTTTGTGTGTGTGTGTGTGTGTGTGTGTGCGTGTAATCTTCTTTGTAAAACCTTGAAATCTCTTCTTTTTTTTTCTGTCTTGATGTTTTGTGTGTATTACACTAAATGAGCATAGTAGTATGAACAATGGCGACAATACAAAATGAGATATACTAAATGGAGATTATTCGTTGTATTTATTGGAATGGTATTCTATTTGTTTTTCTCATGTCGCTTAATTTCAATAATTAATTCTACTGCTATTGCTTGTTCGATTTTTTTTTTGTCGATCTGCCTGCTCTGCCTGTTCATTTGCATTTTCATCATTTAAAAAAAATGTCCCAAATATAATAGTCTATGAAAAAATTTTAAAAATTATTTATATACATGAAAAGAATAGTTCATAATAATAATGCAATGAAATACTGGATATAGAAGTTATGATGGGTTTCTAATATGCAAAATTGTTTTATGAATTCTACAAAAATAAAAGAAATATAAACAATAAAAAGAAAGTATAAATAATAATATTTACTTGTTGCATTCTTGATCAATTTCGATACTAAATAAAAATTCAAAAATTTTGATTGACAAACAAGAAAACAAAAACTTCTAATTTATATATCAGAATTAAATTAAAATAAGACATCAACAATTCTACTATGTACTTGTATATTTTTTAAGACGATAAATGTTGATTATTCTGTAAGGTATGTATGAACCGAAACTCAGTTGTTAAGTTAATTGAAACATCTGATGAATTCTATCATGCAATAAATTATCATAGAAAACATATGTCTATTTTCTTCAAACTCAAAAGAACAGAACTGACAGCTCTGAAGTACAACAAACTACCTTCAATGAATTTTATCTTACAGCTGTTAACTTTAAAAAAAGTTTCTTCAACTATCGTGTATTAATTGAACACTAGAAGAAAGTCTAAAATGATTGGAATTCACGATCTTTTTCTCAATTGACAGCTGATCTAACAAGTTATCGAAAAGTCCTTTGACAAAAATGCTTATTCATTTTTTTTTCAGTCTCGTAAAGGAGTCGGTAGAAATATTGGGTTAGAATCAGAATTTTATGTTCTTTTCAAATATGAGTTGACCTTTTAGAAGCCTGTAAATTCAATTTGGATATAGAAAACTGACATTTCTTTTTTGCAGCATTATTTATCGATATTTTTGCATAGGACTAAAGATGAGATAGTTCTCTATAAAGTGATATAAGAATCAAGATGTCATGACCCTCTGTTATGATACATCATTAGTTAGACAATTTGTTCTTTCTTGTCTGCTGTTATGCTATGTATTACATTCTTTGATTCTTTTTTTTCCTCTCCTCTCTTTCGATTTGTCTCTCTTGAATTAGAGAAATATCATCGGTAGCCGAGGGAAATCGAGATGTTGTCAAATATATTTATGCCCCGGTTTTTTTTCAATTTTGTCTTAGAATTAGAGATCTGCAAAGTGGTCCCGGATAGTTTTTATCAAAAAATGTATAAATATATTTTCATAATTATTTTTTTTATCTGATTAAAAATATTTAATCATCTATTTTTATTTACTATTCCTATACAATAAGGTTCAACCGCAGAACTATATCGTGCTTCAATCTAAATAATCAATTCGATATTATTTTTATGAGCAAACTGAGTATTCATATCTTACATTGAATAACTATTAATAAACTTACTTGTAAAGGATAAGCATAATGATTTCGATATTTAAGTGATAATGGTGCATCAGATTGATCATCTACATCTTTTGAATTAATTAATCTATAATATAATTCAGCATGTCCATACTAAAATAAAATTTCTTTATATATGTATATATATATATATAAATTAAATTTAACATTTTTTTTTACTGTTGGAGCTCTACTGGTAATAGCAAGACTTTCATCTGGAAGAATTGGTACTGCTTTTAAAGGTACTTTCCATCGACCACTAAATAAACGATTTTTATTATCGAATAATGCTAATTTTGTCCAAGCAGTTGTTTGTAATTCTTCAATTGATGCTTGTTTCTTTGTTGATGTTTGTATTTCAATAACAACAGTTAATGCTTGTTGTGGTGGACATCTTTAATTAAAAAGAATTGATAATAAATAAATAAAAAATACATAAGTTTTTTAATTTAACAAACCCTGGTACAGGTTGTTTAGTAGCAATGAAAGCAATATTCATACGTTCATTAGTTCTTTCATCAATATATTGTTCACATTTTATTGGTTCTAATTCTGATGGTTCACCAACTCCAGATTTTGGATGATGAATAGATGTTATAAGACGACATTTTTGAATTGTTAAAGGAAGATTCGTAATAAAATCAAAAAATATAACAAAACCACCAACTGGATCATATGATTGAGGTGCAAGTGGATTACGTAATTTACTTATATTTGAAGTTGCAATACTTAAAGCTGGACTTGCACGAGGTGTAATACGTTTGCCAAATGTATTTAATGATTTTTGTTCATCAATTTGATCATTATTAGTTTCACGAGCAGGTTGTCGATATGAAGTAGTTTTTGATGATAAATAACGTTCATAATTATCAATTGAACTTGGTATATCATTTGTTGACATTGATAATTCTAATTGTTTTGTACCTTTAAATAAAAAATAAAAACCATAAGAGAACTCTTAATAATTTGTAAATATAAAATCAATATGAATAACTACGTGCACTAAGTGTATCAAATTTTTTACTCATGTCATGAAGTTCATTTTGTAAACGTTCATTTTGATCATGAACTAATTTTAATCCTTCATTTATTGGATCAATATGACTTTCAGGTTGATCTATTGATAAATACATTATATAAATTAATGAGCGAACAAAAAAAAATAACAAGGAACATGTGAAATACAAACATTGAGATTGTCGTAATGGTTCCGGATAATCTATTGTCCATGGATACTCTTCATAGGCACCTAATGTATATTCAAGATCACTATATCGTGTAATAACACTTGCATCATGGCCACCGGCTTGTAAATAGTCATTTCGAGAATTTCTAAAAGCATGGTATTCACATCATATATCTGTAGTCTAACACAAAAATTAAGTTATTATTGTTTCAAATACATCCCATTTGATTATACTGCATCTGTTTGTACTATATCAAAATATACAGTAGAGTATTCAGTTCATATTTTAAAATAGTTTGTTTGACAGTGAGAACATTCATTGGATTCGAATATGATCAATCTTCTTAAAGCATACGACCTTCCAATACAGATAGTTGTTCGTGCTTTCTTATCTCTTATTATGATTATCATCTCATATTACTCATGAATAAATTCTGATTGCTTGTAGATTCTTATTTATATAGTCGTAAGCAGCTAGGACTTGATTATATCCTTTTTTAATTAGTTCATTAAATTCATTCAAAATTTTCTTATTCAAAAAAACAGTGGTTTTTTTTCAAGGTTAATAGCTTTTTTGTCTGTTCTTGACAGGTTTAGTGACGAGTAAAAGTTTAGCGCACTTGTATTTTTGAGTTTTCTTTTCGATAGTAATAGCTAGGAAGAATTTGAAAAACTATTCGAGTAGCTAAAAAATTCTCTATCAGGATTTGTGAACCTAAAAACTCAAATAAAACTTCTTGGATGAGAATGTTTCGAAAACTAAGACCACCTCGAAACAAGTTTTCTAACGTTCATTTGAAGTTTTTTGAAAATGATTTTATTTGATAGAGTAAAATGGGATGTCTCATTCTCTTTATCGAACTGCATCCAATTTACAAAAGACTCAAGAAACATTTTCCTTATGCTTTTATGAGAAACTTCTATGATTTCGCCATGTTCGATGCTTTGGAGAGCTTGCTATAAATTGAATGCAGTTCGATAAAGAGAGTGAGACATCTCTTCACATGGATGTCAAGAAACAGATTTTGGGATGGTCTTGGTTTTTCAGACATTCTCATCCGAGAGGTTTTATTGGAGTTTTTAGGTTCACAAGTCTTGCTAGAGAATCCTTGTAGCTACTCAAATAGTTTTTCAGATTCTTCCTAACTATTACTATTGAGAAGAAAATTCAAAAATACAACTGCTCGAAATTTATATCCGTCACTATATATACGTTATTAAATCAATAAATTTTTTGTACAGTCCTATCATTCAGATCTACATAACTTCTTTATTCTCTTAAAAAGATAGTGTTTTGTTTAGCTTCCAATCAATTATCTTCATCATCATATTAGTCGGCTGACAAAAAAAAATGTCAGGCATAGATAGGCTGAAGAAGTTCATAATCTGTTGTAGGGAAGTCTGACGTACGAAAAGCAAATTTCTTGTACATAGTTTTGACAATCAACTCAAAAAATCCTGAACGGTTTAATGAACTATTCGTAGACAAGAATACTTGTTTGTCAACTGTAAAAACAATACATAGTTATCTTTTGTAAGACTCTCTTTCAACTGAATGTAAAAGATCAATTAAGTTAATATTTCTTTAATTTTTCTACCTCACATTATCACCAACTGCTCGTCGTATTCGACTAGTAGCATATGGTAAAGGTGATATATTGCTTATAGTTGATAATGAACTATAAAATAAAAAGAAACACAAAATTATTTTTATAAATAAATAAATACCCATTTGTATAGATAAGACGTCCTCGTAGAAAATCTAAAGCTTTCTCATTAAGTTCTTGTTGTTCTTTCATTTCACGTAAAACTCTATATGGATCATAATTTGACATTCTTGTTGGTTGATAATTAGTTGATATTAATTCTTCAAGTTTTTGTTGAATAACTAAATAATACATAAAAACAAAACTTTATATTTTATCTTCCCTCAGGGAGATATAGAGACCGTAAAAGCCACAATGGTCATATACTTTCCCCCGCAAAACCCTGAACTTCATTCTTTTGAGCTGCAATTTTTCTTATGACAGCTAGGATCAAATTGAGATGTGTATGTTTTTTTTTTCTTTCAAAAATATCGTTCTTAGAGCTCAAGAGAAGCAAAATCCTGGAAGCACCATAAAAAATATACTTTTTGCAATGATACTAATTTTTTAAAGGCTGTCGAATTTTATAGGAAAAATATAAGAGCAATGTGTTTTTGTTTTGAATACGATATCAAGTCTTTAACTCAAATCTAAATATTAATTTGAATAGCTAATGAAGTTTTCTATCAAATGCATTCCATACCGAAATTTCATTGATCACACCTAGGAGAGGAGAGTTTCTGAAAAAATCAGAAACAGTTGTTTGTAGGTACCAGGAAACTTTGTGAAAATTAGTTTTGAAGAATACCCTCTTAAAGAGTACAAAATTCTGAGTAAAGTGAGGGCTTGTCGCATTTCCTACGACCTTTCCTTAAAAAGTTATAGGCATCACAAAAGAGAAAAAAATGCGTCGTATGGCAAATGCTTATAACTTTTTAAGAGAAAGTCATAAGAAATATGATAACCCCTCATTTTACCCAGAATTTTGTTCTCTTTAAGATGATACACTTCATAAATAATTTTCACAAAGTTTTCTGGTTTTTGGTTCTTTAGAAACTTTCCTCATATAGGTCATCTATGGAATTCTGGTATAGAATGCATTTGATAGAGAACTTCGTTGACTATTCAAATCACTATTTGGATTTGAGTTAAAGATTTGATATCGTATTCAAAACAAAAAAGTACGTTACTCTTATATTTTTGTCCAATACTGTATATCAGGACTTTTTTTCTCCTCTACTAAAGCGATCAGAAACTGCCTGTGTTAGAGCTTCATGACCCATGCCTCTCAGCATCTTTAGAAATTGTCATTAGAAGAATTAAGAATACAAAGACTAATTGCATTGCGAGTTTTTCTGCGAAGAATTTCATAAAAGTACTAACTAGCAATGAAGAGTTCTCATTTATATGACATTTGATAGAAGACACTTCGAAATTATATTACTTCTTAAAGAAAACTATAGATTTACTTCGACGTTCTTGTTCAAGACGATTATTTCTTCGTTGTAATTCTTCAAATCGATCGTTTTGACTATCAGTTAATTGAATCGTTTGTTTAAATGTATTATTAAAATCGTTTACTGGTGTAGATTCGATTTGTAGATTATACATTCGACGTAAAACATCTTGTTCTTGCTTTTGTAATCGTTCGTACTTTAAATAAGAGAAAAAGAAAATATTCAAATGACAAATATATTATTTATCAAAGTCAAGACAAAATATGAGATCTAGTTTTAAGTTTCTTTGCATTATATTTTTTATGAAAAAATGAATAACAAAACAATATAAATATTGAATTATTTTATTTTTCATGTAATTAAATATCATTCTTACTTCAACAAGAACTTCATTATAAATATCATCTTGTTTCTTTAAATAACCCAGAAATTTTTGTGATTTTTGTGTGTTAATTAATATTTGATCTTCAATATCTCCGACACTTTCAAGCATTGAACGTTGTAATTTCCATTCATTAATTTCTTGTGTTTTCTATAAAAAAATTTGCAAAAAAAAAATGATTTAATAGAATTTGTTTTATAATTTTATATGTATGACGAAGCAAGAAAAAAAAATATGATATCGATTACTTTCAAGATAATTCTAGAATTTCAGAAGTAAATAGAACAAAATTCTAGAACTGAATTTTGTTATTAATATTGAATTTCTTGATCTTTTCTTAATTTACAAAAATAAATATTCAATCAAAATCTTACTTTTTTCGTAGGTGTTTGATGTTGAATAACTTTTTTCACAGTTGGTTTTTTAGTATAATTATAATCTTCATAACTACTAGTCTCATCAATATCTTCATCATCTGAATAAATAGGTTTTCGTCCAATACCAGAATCTTTAACACCAATACAAAATCTTGTTTTATGTTTAAATAAACCTTCATCTGATGAAAATACTATTCCACATTGATCACATTTATATTTTCGTTGATTTAACATATTAGATGAATTATCTAAATATTCTAATTGTTGTTGTGATGATACAGGTAGATCAGATATTGTAGAAGATTTTTGTAATACTGATGTTGTTTTTGGTAAACGTACTGTTAATGGTGAATCCCATAATCGTTTAGAATCAGGAATAAAATTTAATTGATTATAATCAAAATAATTATTATTTAGTTGCTTGAAATTTTTCTCAGCAAGAATTGGTCTATTTTTACCTAAGACATAAGATGATGAATCAACAGTAGGTTTTATTCGTTGAGGATTAGATATATTTCGAGATGGCTTAGTATGCAATGTTCCCATTGAATAGTACTTGAAATTTTTGTATCTTTTACTTTTTAATAATAAAATATTTGAATATTATTTTCATTTTTTCTTTTTTTTTTTTGTTTTATTCTTGTAATTTAAATGGAAATGATCTCAATTCATTTACTTACTTTTATGTTAAAATATAATATTCTATTGAAGTACGTTATAGACGTTGATGCATGTTATGGTAATACTTCTTTTTATATACTATACTGTTCGAGTGTATGATTCTTTTCTGATTTAAAAAACAAATTTAAATTTTTTTCTTCTTTTCTTTTCGTCTTTGGCAACAACAATAACATACTCTTGAAGGAGTTCAAGATGAGAAAAGGAACCATACTGAGTTTTACGATCAAAAAAAAAATAAAGAGAAATGCCATCTAAAGAAAGAAAAAGACTTTTTTTTAAATGACGTTTGCATTTATTATTTTCAAATAAATATGAAAAAAAAAAATGAAATCTTGTCTTGTTTTCAAGTTTTAATCTTTAAACATTATACATTTGTCTGATTGAATTTATATGATAGTACATCTTTAAAGAAAAACTGATTTTTCTCAAAATTTGTGTTTGTCCTCAAAGTAGATTGTTATAAAACATTAATGCGTTTCTATGCTACAACGCATACAATCAATAGAAATATTATAAAAATAAAATAAAAACTCTCTTTTCTTCAATTACTACATATCATTAAATTTTAATATTGAATTATAAAAAAAAAGAATTTATTTTATATGGAAATTTATAGTATTTTGTTTTTTTTTGTTAATAATTACTTTGTTAGATATTAGAGTAAAAGAATATCAACGGCTTATGATTTATGAATAGATGTTTTTATAAATATTATGTATTTTTAACTTTGGTTAATGATAATAAGACAAAAACATATGTTGGGAAGAAAATTGGAACTCTAGTTTTGATCAGACAAAATTAAGATTCACCTAGAGATGAATTCATACAATCGACATAAATAAAAATCTGACTAGAATAACTAATATTATTCAACAATATCTTTTTTATTTTCGTAAACACCTTACAAGTCAAAATACTTTATTGTATTCATCTTTATTTGTACAACCACCTCGTTGGGCAAAACATTTTCTCAAGCAAAAAACTTTCTTTTTTTTTCTTTCTACATGAAAATTGTTTTGTAACACACTTGCCAGTATAATAGCATGTGCAACTGATTGTTGAATCCTATTCAGAAATTGTTTTTTAATTAGATTGTAACGCGTACATTTATATTTATACTGCTTATTAATTTCACCACTTTGACTAAAATATTCTCTCTTTTTTTTTCCTTCCACTTTATTTTTAGTAAAACACGTGACTCTATCCACTTATCCCTACTTGAATTCTGATTTTACCCTGGTGAATTCAGAATATGACTAAATTCCAATTTTACCTCCAACATATATTTTACAATGGCATTGAAGCCTTAGAAAAATTTCTTTACATAAACTTATTTGATTTGAGTAGAAGTATGTTTGATAAATGGCGCCAGTATTTATTATGGTTTCGTACATTTTTTTTTCGTCAGCCATTGCCATTGTTATTGAGTACTGGATGGATATAAACTTAGAGAACAATTGAAAACACATAGTTGAGACATAAGATTTTCTATCGAAAGTTACTAACATTGAACACAAGCAAAAATGTAAATCAACATTTATCGTTAAATAATTAATACAGTGCAAAGCGCAGCATCTCTATAGTCGGTTGCATACGCATTCAGCGTCCATACCTTGGATGTTTTTTGCTCTAACAAAACCTGTACTTTACGTCGCGATGTTCTAGAGAATGGCAAGTCACTAGAAATTCGTTTGAATTATATCAAGGAGATCCATGTCCCGAGATGATACAAACGTTTTTCAATCTTCAGTAAGAGTTTCCATTCGTCTTCAGTAGATTCTGGAAAACGGTGATTTTGATGATTTGGCATCCATCTTTTATCCGAAATAATTAAAAGCGATAAGCTAATCTCCAAATCTTCGACAGGACAGAATCGACTCTAAGTGAAATCATTTATCGTTCGTATGTTAATTGAAACCCTATTGTGAAAAACTGAGATTGTTTCGTACTGCACTGTGTAGTCCTTTGAGAGTTTTCTTTTTCTTTTTTACTTGTCAAACATAAGCATCGAACAAAGCTTATTGCAGTCCCAGCACCAGAGTGGATATTTATCTCACTAAATAAGAATGTACTACATGAAACTTAACATAGGTGGTTCTTCTAAATTCTATCCTCTATCTATATAGGGCTACGCTGAGCTTTTTTCTTCTGTTATTCATCGTGTAACAAAGATATATAACATAAGTGATACAATTTATTTTGATTTCAAACATAAATATTTTCTACGGAAAAAGATTCTCTAAAAATCTCCGTTATTAAAAGCTTTTACCTTCTTCCATGCATGAATAAGAGAGTACAAGAACGTCTATCTGTGATTGATGTATACACAGTAGATGAATAAAACAATTTTTCGACATGAAATGTCTATTCAAATGCAATATCTAATGCAGTTTGTTGTGCTCTTGCTAATGATATATTGAATAATAAAATTAACTAAACATTATGCATATGACGTAGAGCGCAAGTTGTTCTACTGAATCGTGTATCATAACGAAAACTTTGACTCAGATCAGGTGGGCAATAGTTTGCAAAACTAAGAAGTTAGATACTTTTGGAAGGATGAAAAATGGCATCCTGTGATTGTATCGTCAATAAAAGCTAAACAAATCAATAGGATTGATCTGAGATTTTTTACTAGTATACTAGAAATTATAGGTTGTAATCTGATGGAAACCCGATGATTCTACGATAAAATTATCTACTGGTAAAATCATTTTGATATCTACTGTATATACTGATAGTTCAAGCAGTTCTTTATAATATTTCACCATTTTTCAGGTGGTGTGACAATAGAAGAATTTCGATCAAAGCTAATAAGGAAAACTTTAGCTTCTACAATTTATATCCTGTACTGTACTATATATTCAAGCGAGAATTATTCATGATAAAATATATTTTGTTTTCGGTGATCAAGTTTCACCTTTTAGAACAGTTGAAAGATGATATGATTAGTTTCATGAAGGTTACAAAAACGTTGAAGACGAAGAATGACCTACCAGACCTGTAATTCAGATTATATCTTTCATAATCAACCTCAAGATTAGCTGTTACCACACCTAGCAAGTCGTAATCTTTTTAAGTTTATGATGACCAGAGATTATTGATTAGATGCTACCATGATTCAAATCAGTTTGCTCTGCAAAAATTCGTCATTTATAATATGAGGATTATCATTAATAAGGTAATGGATGGATGTTGTTCGACGACAGATACGCCAAATCGTTCTCTCGACTTTCATGAAGTCATTCATATCATTTTTCAACTGTTCTGAGAGGTGAAGCATGGCTGCCGAAAATAAAATATAACACGGTACGGACCTAAATGCAGAAGCAAAAGTTTTTCTTATTCAAAAAAAGGCAGAGATGAACAGCTATGAGGGTGTGGGTGTGGGTGTGGGTGTGGGTTCTGTTGAAGAGAAGCTACATACCCACACCCCTAGTTTGATATTCTATGGTCTCCTTTTGGGATCGGTTTTCTTCACATCTATCTCACTTTGTACATATTAATTTACATCAAGCCAAAAGTTAATATATTGACTCATTTAACAAATTGATATTTCAAGATTATTTCAAAATCGACTCGATAATATCAAGTAAAGTATTATGTTTAAAATTCGAAATGTGCTAATATAATCTATTCGTAAAATATTACATGTGTATCATTTTCGAGAAGATTAGTTAAGAAAGCATAATAATTTATCAAAAATAGTAAATGTTCCAGAATTCATATGATAGAATCCTCTTTTCATTTAGTTATTGCCAACTGCATAAGACAATAAATTCAAGATTTTTTACAATAAAGTGTTTTGAAAAACATATTAAACATTTACTGGACAAAAATTTTTAGACAAGTGAATTGATATGTCTTCATAATTTTATTTTTATTTTATAAGAATTAACTTTAAAATATTTTGATGTCGATATTCTTGCAAAATATCGTTCTAAATTATTAGACATACCCCACGACATGTTCGAGATATTTTTTTTTCTTATTTCTTTTTTTGTCTGACACATTTTACAATAGAAAGGAAAAGAAAGAAAAGGACAGAAAAATATAAAACTACGTGGTCACATCGACGTTAGGTTCGATTACAAATAGATGTATTTTTGTCGAAAATTTCTCTGATAAAATACAGAAGTGTAGATCCATGACGATTAGTTTTTTTTTAGTAAATATTCACGGAAACAATTTAAAAAGCTTGCTCTGTTAAATTATAAATCTAATTTTTGTCTTCATTTTGACACCAAGCTCTGTTTTTTTAGCGTTTAAAATGTCGACGAATTTTAGTACGTACGGAAACATCAAAATACGTTTCAAAACTTTTTCCTCTATAAACTGATGTAAAAATAATCTTCGGGTAATTCATCCGTTAACATATCAACAAAATTGCTAAAAGTCAAAGGTCTTACAAATCAAAAATATTATTTTTTTTCAATATGAATGTTCGAAAAAAATCGGTGTAATATTCTTAAATATCATCATGAAATCAATAAACTATAATGCATTCGAGCGTAGACACCTTACTCTATCTGAAGTGATGTCAATCACAAAATTAATGTGTATGACTCATATTTACTTTTCCTAATGGGGGAGCCCCTTTACCTGGATTTGATGAATATTTGTTGACGATAGTATTATACAGATTGTATCGATAGTAACATATATTTATGTTTTATGTTTATCAACTAGCTCTTTTTTCACAATTAAATGTAATAAGTGTACTTTCGAGTGTCAATCGACGCTATATTTTGCTTTTTAGCCTTGTTTTTTTTTTTAATTTTTTTAAAAGTTTATTTATCTAAACTATGTGGAAGTGCATAGAGTTTGCAGATGATATCACATTACTACTACGTAGTTCTGATCTG